AAGGAAGGAAGGAAAGAAAGGAAGAGGAATAGAAGGGAAGGGAAGGGAAGGGAAGGGAAGGGAAAGGAAAGGGATGGATGAAGAAGGGAAGGAAGGAAGGAAGGAAGGAAGGAATGGAAGAGGAACAGAAGGGAAGAGAAAGGGAAGGAAAGGAAAGGAAGGGGAAAAGGGAAAGGGATAAATGAAGGAAGAAGGGAAGGAAGGGAAAGAAAGGGAAAGAAAGGAAAGGGAAGGGAGTAAATGGATGAAGAAGGGAAGGAAGGAAGGAAGGGAAGAGGAACAGAAGGGGAGGGAAAGGAAAGGAAGGGGAAAAAAGAAAGGGATAAAGGGAGGAAGAAGGGAAGGAAGGGAAAGAATGAAAAAGAAAGGGATAAATGGATGAAGAAGGGAAGGAAGGAAGAATGGAAGAAAGGAAACGGAATAAATGGATGAAGAAGGGAAGTTGGGAAGAAGGGAAGGGAAGGGAAGGAAAGGGAGTTAATGGATGAAGAAGGAAGGGAAGGAAGGAAGGGAAGAAAGGGGAAGAAAGGGGAAGGGAAGGAAGAAGAAGGGAAGGGAATAAATGGATGAAGAAGGGAAGGAAAGGGAATGGAAAGGGTAAAGGAAAGGAAGGGAACGGAAGGTACGAAACTCTGATCTATGCTGCAACGATTGCTCACTGACTCAAACCACCCCTTATCAAGTTTGCAGATAACAAAAAGCTAATGCAAACATTTTAGGAGAGAAAAGAGGATCCCAGAAGATCCCAACAGCCTTGAGCAACAGGTTGATGATGGTGGACTTGAACAGGAATTCAACACCTCCATGGTCTTCATCCAACTCTGTCATTCTGTTATCTGGAAATGGAAGGCAGAACCAGAGGAGGCGGGAGATTTTATTGATTGCTTGATTTGATTTGTCAATTGCTTACAAGGTAATAGATACAAATATTATAAACATGAGTAAGAATACAGGAAATAGGTACGAATAAATGGGGACAATAGGACAGGGACGTGAGGCACAATGGTGCACTTATGTGCAACGATCAGCCCTTTCAGGTACTCCCAATTTTGCTTTTTCTCAAGAGGCAACCGGTCTTTCTTGTTTTTCTTTGAAGACGTTTCGCTTCTCCTCCAAGAAGCTTCTTCAGCTCTGACTGGATGGTGGGGAATGGAAGGATTTATACTCCTTGCAGACA